CTGCAATGGCATAGGCTGCAGTGGGTTGCCATGGGCTACCGTGTGTAGCCAGCAGCCAGCGTGAGTGGCCAGCAGCCGCCATGAGCAGCCGTCCAGAAGCCGGCAACTGATCTGCTTCGCCCGGGAAGAGCGCAATAATGGTGCCAACTTGGACCAGTGAAGCAACGTCCTCCACAACTAGACTGAAGAACCAAAAAAAGACAGCAACTTGCCTGTTCCCCTTCCCCCAATTCCCCAGCTCTGTTCCCATCCCCCAATTCCCCAATAAAAATCTTAAAAAAAAAAAAAAGTTCACAAACTTGTTGCAATTATATTGCTAACCGTTTTTTTTTGGTATCAGAGGGATTATTCATTATGAATTTGTACCAGCTGGACAAACAGTTAACCAAGTTTACTATTTGTAAGTGCTGAAAAGGCTGCATGAAAAAGACGAAAACAACCTGAACTTTTCTCCAACAATTCATGGCTCTTGCATCATGACAATACATGGCACTGTCTGTGAGGGAGTTTTTAGCCAGTAAACAAATCACTGTATTGGAACACCCTCTCTACTCACCTGATCTGGCCCCCAATGACTTCTTTCTTTACCCAAAGATAAAGGAAATATTGAAGACATTTTGATGACATTCAGGACATCAAGGGTCATATGAAGACAGCTCTGATGGCCATTCCAGAAAAAGAGTTCCAAAATTGCTTTGAAGGGTGTACTAGGCACTGACGTCGGTGCATAGCTTCCCAAGAGGAGGACTTCGAAGGTGACCGTAGTGATATTCAGCAATGAGTTGTGTAGCGCTTTTTCTAGGAGGAGTTCGCAAACTTAATTGTCCGACCTCGTAGATCCAAAGCCCTGTGAATGATGTGTACCTGAATTGGGGAGCTGAGGGGCAAGTGGCAGCCCTTAAAGCACGGGACTTCTGAGGCCAGGGCAGCAGCCTGGGAGCCCAGGGCCCCGTCACTCCCAGGGGGCGTTGGCAGGACTGTTGAGAGGATGGGAACAGCTGGTTCTACTGTCTGCCTCCCCCCCATCCCCCCACGCTGGCAGGGCCGGGCTGGAAGGTGTCAGCAGGTGGGCAGACAGTGCATTTGTGGGCTGGGGTGGGGTGGTGTGACAGGGAGGCCAGCCGGTCCCAATGGATGGACAAGGAGCAGTGGGAGCCTGGGACGGTCCAGAGGAGGGCTGAGCGGAGTTCGTCTCAAACACACCTGCGGGATGGAGGGTGCTAGGGGCCGACTGCCTACCTACCCCCCGCCTTCGTTCCCATGTGCCATGGGTGGGCACCAGGGGTTGGGTCCCAGGGATGTCACCTCAGTACTCTGCAACGCCACAAGGCATAAGCTCTCCTGCTGGGACAGGTTCCGTCACTGGGGCTGGCAGGTGGCAGGTAGCACTGTCCCTCTGCTCAGCAACCCTCTGACAGCCAGCACCGGCTCCACCTGCGTCAAAGACACCAGATGGAGATGTTCAGGCTCACCAGGACCGGTCACCTCTGCCTGCCCAGCCCTGGGACCAGGTATGAGGTTAGGGAGCTGGGGGTGAGGGCAGCCGAAGAGCTGGTAATCAGAGAGGTCTGACCCCAACAGCCGGGGTGAGGTGAGGGCCCGGGGCAGTGAGTAGCCCGCCACATCTGCCCTGATAGAGGAAGAGAGGTTCTGGAGGGCCCCACCCAGTCCCGTGCCCATATCTGGGGGACCGTGGGGTCCTGAGACATTGGCCAGCTCTCACCCCCCCCAGACATACCAAGATGCATTCAGAGTGGGGGTCCCCAAGAAGAGTTGCACACTCTTGGGAAAAGGAGGGGTGCTAGAGAGGAAAACAGAAAGGGGACCTCACACACCTGCATCCTTGTACATGACGCACACGCCCTACAGGGCTCACCTGTGACACAACGTGACATGGGGACGCGGGGTCTAAGTTGCTGGTGCAGTTGCTCAGAATGCAGAGGCTGAGAGAGGAGGTTTCCGGGAGTCCACCAGGGCCCTGGTCGGGGCAGGGCCTTACTCAGACACTGTCTGGAGATGGAGCTGCCCGTCCGAGTCCCCAGCTTTCCAGATGTCCCTGTCAGCCCGATTTGATTTATAGCGTGCACTTTTTATACCCCGAATCCCTTTACATCTGATATGTTGTTGTTCCACCCTTAAAAGTAGTCCTGTAATAAAGATCTAAAGCAGCCCTGGGCGTCCCCGAGAGTGTTTTTCATTTTGGAAGGGTCCCTACATCACTGAAGTTTAGGGTCTTGAGGAAACAGGCTGAGCACCAGAACCCCACTCAGGGCTCAGGGCCTTGGCTTGTGGATTCCAACATTCCCTGGGGGAGATGCTGAGCGAGTGTGGAAATTAAAAAGGAATAAAGAAACAGGAGATCATTATAAAATGATGTCACAAAGTGACAGTTGGTGACACAGTGTGGCCTTGTGGCGGGCACAGGCAGACCCAGGCGGCACCACCTTGGGATGGGGACCATCCGCTTTCTGATGCCGGCCATCAGGTCTGCTGACAGACGAAATTGCATTAGGTCTCCAGCTTGCCCCACACACAAATCCTAAGGTCCGTACAGATTAAAGGCCTCAAGTGTGAGTGACTGCCAAGAACATTAGCCAAGAACAAGAGAGCATGTCCTTCCAACCAAGATTCCAAAAGCTTACACGGGAGAGGGAACAATGGTGACATGTGACAAACTCAGATTTTAGAACGTCCCCACTCATGAGACAGAGGCGAGCCAGCCCAGGAGTGATGCTATTTGCAATGCTACAGTGGCGTGGTGTGGAAAACACACAGAAATCTACAAATAAACGAGAAGAAGCCATTCCATCCAACAGAAAAACGGAACCAACAGGAAAAGTCACATGGCCAAGAACCTCGTGAAGAGGAGCGGATCAGATCAGTGCAAATGAAACACGCAGGAGGGGCTGCTGACCGGTGTGGACATCAAGAGGGGACCATACTGCCAACCCCCGGGCATGATGCGGGCAGCAGTACCAGATGCACATGCTGTGTGGTGGGCACTCCCACTGCAGGCGTGCATCTGAGAGGACTAAAGCAGGTCGTGAACACACACACGTGCCCCCATGGCCACAGCATCAGCAGTCACAGCGGTGAAAAGGTGGAAACGGCCTAAGTGTCCATGGCTGGAGGAGCTGGTGCACAAAACGTCGTCCATCCACACAGTGGGAGTGTCGCTCAACCTTAAAAAGGAGGGATGTGTGACACCCACTGCAACGTGGATGGACCCAAAGGACATTGTGCTGAGTGAAATGAACCAGTCACAGAAGCACAGATCGTGGGTGACCCCACTCACATGAAGCCCCTCAGATTCCTAGACAGGAGGTAGGAGGACCGGTGCCTGGACTGGGGGAGGGGCATGGGAGCTGGAGGCAGAGTTTGTTTCGTAAAATGAAGATGGACGGAGGTGATGGTTGTACAACATGTGAATGTACTTGATGCCACTGAGCTGTGTGCTTAAAAAGTTAAAATGGTAAGTTCCATGTGCTGTATATTTTACCACAATAAAAAGAAAGCTGTGCACACACACCCGAGACCCAGGGCACAAAGTATGTTATAAGGACTTGCATTACTGCTTTGTCTAAAGTTGCAAGCAATTTTGAAACAACCTCCACATCCCTCAGTGGGGAATGAATAAATGAAAGGAGGTGGCCTTGTGAGTGGGACAGCACCACGTCCAAAGGACTGACCGGACTTCCTACGGACAATGACAGAGCCCCGCCTCACAAGTCCCCTCAAGTGTCAGAAGGGTGTCTTTGTTGGTATGTTTTTAGGGTGCAAGCCACAGAATGAAGAGTGGGAGAGGGGACCAGACTGCAGGAGTGTGGCAAGTGACTGCCTCCTGGCACCAGTGGGGTGGGTGGGCTGCAAACTGGAGGGGTGGACAATGTGTGCCCTGCCCGTGTGGTCAGCCTCAGGCCAGCTGGCTTGGGGCAGCAGGAGCGGGTGGGCCCACTGGGGGTGTCAGGCCTGTTTTGGAGGCTCTTGGGACTTACCTGGGCCTGACATGGGGATGCTCTGACAGGGTGTACCCCTCTGGGAGGGTGGTCCAGGAAGGACCAGCTCTAAGGATGGGGGGAGCAGGGGCCCAGGGTGGCAAAGCCCACAGGGGTGCTTCTGGGGCCCAGCCGGGCCTTGCTCCTCAGCCCATGCCGACAGCCCCACCCACAGCTGGGATCACAGGCAGGCCTGGCCAGTGGACACCAGCCAGAGTGGGCTCAGGAAGCTGTGGGTGGGAGGTGACGAGAGGAGAACATCCCCTACCCCTGCAGCCTCCTCTGTGCCCCCTTCCAGGGATGGGGGCTCCCTGCACAGAGGGGTGGAGAATGGGTCCCCACGCTTGGCCAGAGAGGCCAGCCTGAGGAGCGAGGTCCTCCTTGCCCACCCCACACCCTTGCTCTGCCTCGTGCACTGTGGCCGGCAGCCTGGGCCTGGGGGTACCCTGCAGCCCCTGGGTGTCCAAGGTCAGGGTGGGCAGAAAGGCCTGGCTGTGCCTGTCTGGGGCAGCGGGGTCCGGGAAGGGCTGTGGGCAGAGCACCCGCACCAAGGAGGTGGCTGGGATGGCCAGGGAGAAGCACCCTTCCCTGGAAATTCTGGTGGTGTGGATGTGACCCCCACACCCCGATGGGGGGCCCCTGCCTCTCCCGGCCACACGCAGGTCAGGACGCCAACCCAGCCTTTAGACAATAGTTTATTGTAGACTCAGCCTCCACTCTGGCCCAGGGTTCCGGTGGCCGGCTGGCCAGGCAAGGGCACGTCAGGTCCCCACAGTGCCCACCGCCACCCTCCAGAGCCTGGGCCAGGCTGGGACGAGATGCGCTAAGGAGGGGCCGCACAGCACGGTCTCCCTACAGGCACAGTGAGGCAGTGGACATGGGTGACGGTCACCCACCAAGCAGTTCTACTCTACCTGTGTTATTGCATTTATACGCTTGTTAGACTCAAAAGACGCGTGGTTAGATGGGAGGGGCCGTCCGGGGGGGGGC